GAGCATCTGATGGCATCTTGTAATTCTCTATCCGCGGACAGACCTACTCACTCACCATTTCTGCACTTTGTGAAACTCTTAAGCTTCCATACACTGATGGCATTCACCTTGAAGAAGAACCCGATTTTGACTTGTGGAGAGAGATGGGTCATGGCGTCAATGATAGCGGGAGATCAAAGTCAGCCTTTTTTACTCATCTTGCAGTGAGAGTTGTGCACAAACTCTTAGCACACACGATTTTCTCTAGAGCCAACATGGGATGTGTTTTGAAGACCGAGCTCATTACACTTCAGATGCCATTTATGGACGATCCACGACTTGCCTGCTTTTCCTGGATCATAGCACAGAACATGGTGAAGGTGAAGCATGATTTACATGGTTGCGAGGACGCTACTCCAGCTTATGGGAGCGCTATTACAGTGATACTACAGGCTGTAGGATTCGATTTCTCATCTGATGATCCACTTTCTGAAGTCTGGTATGACCTACTCTATCTCTCTCGCGATCACACTATCTCTCGTGCCGCTTTCGATCCAGACAGGTTCGGTTACAAGTATTGCACAGACACCAAGGAGCACCGAGTCTGTTTACCGTCAGCATCAGTCCCGAGATTGTGTAACAGAGGACGTCCGCGATGGACTCCGGAACCTGATGAGTTTTTACCCTCGGTGCCTCGTCTACCATTCACCATCAGGCAATACATAGTGGCCAAGGCAAAGCGCGATGCAGCTGCAACACGTGCTCAATTTCAGCCATCTGTTTTGACTGGCCACACTTCATCATCGACATCGTCACACACCCATTCTGATCTGGAGCGCAGAGTTGAGAGACAAGGACGACGCTTTGAGCGCGTTGTCACCTTCCTACAGGAGCAGCACCAGTTCGAAGCAGACACATCGGAGGATGAGTGATTGATCAGCACTTCACTGTCATTTGACAGCCATCACGGTTCTATCATCATTTTCTTTTCTTTTATCTTATTTTATTTTTGCTTTTATCCACATCTTCTCACCAACTTTTTCATACTGAGGACAGTGTGATTTAAGTCTGGGGGAGGATGTCTATCCATACTAATCATTTTCTCGCTTTTGCTTTCAAGATTTCAAGTACTTTTAAAATTTTAATATGTAACCTATTCGACCTTAAGTATTTTCAGGAATGTTTGACACAAAACTATGATGATTTAGACCTGCACGCTTCTACACTACGCATGATAGCTCATTTGTGGTTAGCACTAGACTAGGCGGTAGATAGAGTACTTGCACTACGAACTCCCACCAGAGGACTTCTATTCATGGAGATTCTTTCTGACAGGATATACTAGCTCATTTTATTTGACCTTCATATTGATATCTAATTTTCTCATCATTGATTTTAAGCAGGCATCGAGATATACATCTAGGACGTCTTTTACCCTCATTTTTACCACTCTTTGTCGTCCTAGATAGCCAGTTCATCTCTATCTGGTACCATACCCTAAACCCAAAACCATTGTTTTCAATCCTCATGCATTCTCTCTTTAGTTTATATCAGCAGATATATGCAAAAACGTCGGAGAGAAGAGGAGCGACGCAGTTTTCAGTCACTCACAATGAAGACTGAATGGAATTGGGGAGGAAGAGTATGAGAAACCTTATTAAGCTTTACAAGACTGATCTTTATTGGTAATTTCGTGCTCTCTATGACTCTATATCTAAAGGTGTTCCCTCTTTCAAAAAAAAATGAATGAAAGAGAGGGAAACAAAAAGCCTTATGAGTCTTAGATTGTCAAAATTTTTGGAGCAAGAAGCAACCACTATTCGTTTGAAGAGCTATGGTTTTGAAAGATTTACAAAAATCTAAGTCTGGGGGGGAGTTAGGAGAGAACCTGAAGAAGAAGACCAGGAATCTATGGCAAGAAGAAAGTGACTGAAAACTGTGGATACCAACAGCTTCAATCTCTTGCGGTTTTGCATAATATCTTGCATCCTCCAGATCTTCAAGTAACCCATAAACACTTTAAGCCTCACCCCTAGAAAAACCCTTTTCACACCTAGCTTAGATTGCCTTGCTTAACCTTTCTTGGATGAGAACCACCGAAATTTTTAATAAATGTTAAGAGCTAGTTGACTGCAAGCTAGATCTTAGTGCAATAGATTTTCGCATGACGGATTAACGGACTAGTTATGCCCGTATTGCTAGTGAGAATTTTCTAGGCTATTCCCTATTGATGCATAATGATTGATATTGGTCTGGAAGCTTGGTCTCTTAGATTTTGTTTAGTTCCTGCGTTTTCAAACCTCTCACCGAGATTTGGCATTTGTTTTGTTTAAGGACAAACAAAAGACTAAGTCTGGGGGAGTTGATAACACCGGATTTTGACCATTTTTATGGATCACTTTCATGTCTTTTACAGGTGTTTTTACTCTATTTTTAAAAGTTTTCAAAGGATTTCTATGTTTTCGGATTTTAAAAGACTTTTCAGGTAATTTAGGATAAAGGGGCACAAATTGGAACAAAAAGATTCTTTTGGATAAATACAGACCGTCAGAACTCTCATGGAGAGATGAAGACCTTCTCACCGTCTGATCACCCTCAAAATTGGACAACTTATAGAAGAATCAACCAGCTTTCAAATGCACTTGGTTTGGAGACATTCGAACGGTTGGATCTCAAGATATTCCATTTTCCCCAGAGACACTCGAAGACGGCCAGCAAGTCACGCGACCGTGGCCACCAGCCCATTTCCCGCGGTCACAAGCTTCCCGACCGCGGCCAACCATCCATTTCCTGCGGTCACGTTAATCCCGACCGCGGCCGGCCAACTCCGATTTAAAGCCCATATTTCTGAAGCCCAAAGTCATTTCTCAGCCTCAATTCCGAAATCCTAGAGACCATGGAGTATTGAAGACTATAAATATTTGTCATTTAGGTCGTTTTTAGACAGAACCTTCATACTTATACAAAAAAAAACCTTTTCCTTTAGCCGTTTTATGCGATTTTTAGAGAATATTGTTCAACTCTGAGTTCTTCAATAGAGAAGCTTTCTTTCACCTCTTTTCTTTACTGGTTTTGATTACTTTTATTAAAACCAATGATGATGTCGACCTCAGCCATGTCTGAGTAGATCCCGAGTTGGGCTTAGGGTTCCCGAAAAGGGGCTCTCATAATCAATTAAGACATCTAGGTTTATAGATCTGGGATTTTAACTTTGTTCTGTGTTTATTCTCGTTCTTATTGCATGTATGCTTGATTGATCACCTAGTATCTGATCTAGATAGTTAGTGTTGCGAAAGTTTTCATTAAGTATCAGACCTAGAATGAAGCAGGGGGTTTTTCCGTAGGAGTGGAAACCTACCTGCGGCGAGATTATGAGTACTGACTAGTCTTGTGCAGCTCTTGCGTTCTCTCCCTTCTAGGGCCAGAGTGGAAACCAACTGGTCAGGGTTGCGAGAAACAGTTGGTTATGATCACGATAGTGACGTAGTCATACCGCCGTACTCTAGCTCTACAACCCTATATTTCGATTTTTGTCAATCCCAATCTATAATCCCTAGTTTAAAACCGATTATGATCCCTGTAGAGTTCCCAAAAGCTCAGCGTTTTTAGCCATAGTTTACAAACCAATCGATTTTTACTTGCTCATTTAGATCTGCATTTTATTTACTTTAGTTCGATATTTTGCTTGTTTCATTTGCCTTTCATTCGATTTTCTACTTGCTCTTTAGGATAGATTTATTTGCTTTCTTTAGGTTTAGTTAAATCCATGACAACAATTAACCTCTAAAACCAATCTAGTCTAGACATAAAGTTATAAACCGTAGAAGAATACCAGACACACAAATCTTTGTGGATTCGATCTCTAAATACTACAATTGATTAGCTATGCACTTGCAGTTTTCATTTATTTTTATTAAGGGTAAAACTTGTTTCCTCACGCAGTTGATACACATCAGTATCGCAGTTAAAATGTATTGCACTTTAAAACCGTTTTTCTTACACAACTAAATACGATGTTACCATTCAAACCCTTATTAGGTTGAACAATCATTTAGAACCTAAAATATCAATTTTCTTAAATAATATTTACCTCAGCAAAAAAATAAAAACTTGCCAAAAAAAATAAAATAGAGACCACCCACGAAAACCGATACAAACTGAAAAGATAAAACAAATTTAATCCGGACAAACCAGAACCCGAAATCCAATTAAACGGAAGACAACCAGAACTTACTCTCTCTCAAATGTTCGAGAGAGAAAAGAGAGAGAAGCTCTATCCTTTTCAAGCGTTTGAATGTCGATCTTTACTCTGTTCATCCATAAATAATCGGATGTTTAGAGTTCAGAATTGTTGGATGGCAGAGAAAAAAAAAAGGAAAAGTGAAAAAAGAGAAGAAAAACACAAAAGTTAGCAAAAGAACAAACAACAACAGCTGTCACTTTCCTCCATTCGTTCTCTGTATAAAAATGAAATCAACAAACCCTATATTAGGAAAGCAAAGAAACAATTAAAGTAAGAAAATCATTTCTTAACTTAGTAATAGCTTTATAATATTTTTTCTCCCTCTCTCTCTTATGCATTATTGCGGTTGCAGCAGCAGCCACACTTGTCTCCACTTTCTCTCGCTAAACCCATCTTCTCTCATTTTCACTTGTCATTTTTTTTTTATGTATATTTCATTTTTCTCTTTTGGTGTTTCTTCTACTGACTACTGGAGTGGTAGGTGCATGGAATTGGTAAGATTTCTCAACCTTCAAATACCAAAACTTTTAATTTTCTTTTCTTATTCTATATTTAGGAATAATTTGTTTTAACTTTCTTTAATCTTTTCCTTTATTGCATTTTAAATTTCTTGCTTGTAATTGATTAGACAGAAAAAAGAAGGGCTTTTATGATGGAGTGAAACTCAAAACTGCAAATTTATATAATTGATCTTTCTCAAAAAAAAAAAATTTATATAATTGCTTTTTTTTTTCTTCTTCTTGTTTTTCTTTCTTCCCATTTCATGGGATCCGTTCTAGTTCTATATTTCTGCAGTTCCCATATCGTTTGTTCAGTACAAATAACTTGCCCATTTTTGGAAATTCTTTTCTTAAATCAAAATTGAAAATTGGGAAATAGAATTGTGTTAGCTTCAACTGATATTTCAGTGTTTTCTTTACATTACTCTAAATTAAACAACTTTGTGTTTCCTTTTGCTTTATGTTCCGACAAATATCCCAATTATCTCTGTAATTTCCTGTGAAAAAGAAAAAAAAGGGAAGAAATTTGTGGTTTCCTGTAAAAAAAGAAGAAGAAAGCCTTGTTTTTTAAACCAGCCTTCTGCTTCGGAGTTTCGAGCATCAAATTTGCTTCTATTTTTCTCTTTATATGTGTTCAAAATTGAATTTTAATCAAGTTTGACCTTTGTGTTAGGGTTCTTAATTCGTTAACTGAAATTTTAAGTATCCTTTTATCTTCCGCTAAATTACCCCAATTGTGTTAGGTTTATCTTTCGAGCATCAAACTTGCTTCTTTTTACTTCATTTGTGTTCAAAATCGAAGTTCAGTCGAGGACATATTCATGGGTTCTTTGTCTGAAAGTTGATTTTGTTGTTTTGTTTTTCTTAAACCTTGTTGTTAATTTAGATTAACAATACCAAAAGGAGAAATCTTGAGATTGTGGCTTGTGTGTTTCTTTTAATAGTGAGTGAAGAAGAAGAAGAAGAAAAAAGACAGTCTTTGAATGGATTGGAACTTTAAACTCAGCTCAGGATATTTATCCGAATTCGATCAAGAATCTGTACCGGTATCAACCCCAATCGATGGCTCGATCTCGTTTGGTGGGTCATCATCATCATCATCATCAAGATTGCAGCCAAAAGGGAATTTTTCATTCGATCTGAAACTTGGAAGAAACACTGGAAACTCATCTTTCTCTGCTTTTGGTAATACAGAGCAAGTGATAAGTCTTAGTAAGTGGAAAGAGAGTGCAATAACAAAACCAGAGGCTTCAAGAAGCTCTGGTTCGTCGAAAAGAACAAGAGGAAATGGTCTTGGAAACAACCAGATCCCGATCTGTTTGGTTGATGGATGTGATTCTGATTTTAGTAATTGTAGAGAGTACCATAAGAGACATAAGGTGTGTGAGGTTCATTCAAAAACTCCTGTGGTTACAATTAATGGCCATAAGCAGAGGTTTTGTCAACAATGCAGCAGGTAATTGACATAAAAATCCAAACTTTTCCGGTTAAGCTTCTTGTTGTGTTAGTGAATACATTGAAGCATTGATAGTAAGTTGTATATTGAACATTTTGTGTATTATCAGGTTTCATTCCTTGGAAGAGTTTGATGAAGGGAAGAGAAGTTGTAGGAAACGTCTTGATGGACACAATCGAAGAAGAAGAAAACCTCAGCCTGACCATATTGCTCGTCCGGCAAACTTCTTCACCGGTTTCGAAGGTTTTAGTTTTACAAAAAAACTTGGTTACATGGATCAAATTGACTTGTCATTAAGAAGCATCATTTTTTCCATCAGGTAGCAAATTGTTGGAGTTTTCAGGCGCTTCACATGTGTTTCCAACTACATCTGTTGCAAGTCCGAGCTGGGGAAACGGTCTAGTAAGCGTTGCTATGGCTAATGGTTCGGTTTACAGACAGAACCAGGGGTTTCCTGGTTCATCTCCTGCAAAGACAGGCATAATGTTCCCAATCTCTTCTTCACCAGACAATAGAGGGAAACAATTCCCTTTCTTGCAAGAAGAAGAGAGCTCAAGAACAGCATCGTTGTGTGAGAGAATGACGAGTTGCATCCATGACTCTGATTGTGCTCTCTCTCTTCTGTCATCCTCTTCCTCGTCAGTGCCTCATTTGGTTCAGCAGCCAGTTTCTTTGTCCCAAGAAGCAGTAGAGACAGTTTTTTATGGGTCGGGATTGTTTGAGAATGCGAGTGCAGTCTCTGATGGATCGGTTATATCTGGTAGTGAGGCTGTGGCTCTTCCACAAACGTTCCCGTTTCACTGGGAGTAGTAGAAGAGAAGTAGTTAGATAGAATCAGAAGGAAATATTGTGTGTGTTTCTCTCTGTCTCTCTTCTCTTTCTCCATAATTTTTCAATGTTTTTCTACTTCATTGTTATTGTTAAATGCTGAGCTGTGGGTGTTTGATGACATTTCAATTAGTTAATGTGTAGGTTGTATTGGTTTAGGAGCTAAGAGTAGATAAACTCTTTATGTACACATCTCATTCCCGGTACTAAAAAAATCTTAATCTCATAGAGAATTTTAAAACCACTCTTATCCTTGGGTTGTGTATCTTAAAACAATTTCAAATCTATATAATTTTTTTGGGCTAAAATCATATCTTTATACGAAACTGATGAAATGGCTGTTGAGATGATGTTATAGATGCCCATTGTCTGGTCGCCTGTCTTTTTCAGCAAATCGTTTTATAAAATTTGAAAAACATACTATAATTTACCAAGTTTCTAATAAAATGTATGATTGGTCAACTCTCCATTTTGTCATTACTGGAAATTTCGAAACAAGTTTCTTATGAGTCGCACTTTACAAGGGATCATTAACGTTTTCGTTGTTCTTCTTTATTCAATCTTTAGAGAATTACTTTTGAATATTACGGTACAAGATATTAGTATCAAAATACATAACAACGAAAAGAAAGTAAATGCTGATAATATAAACAAAATGTATAACGTACGTAAAAAGCATATATAAGAAAAAGGAAGAAAGATTTGTGTAAGTAAAAGCATATAATTTAAGTGCCAGGAAAGTGAATGACGATGGTGAACACAGTGACGAGGCCGAAGTAAATGACTGAATGAAGAAGAATTGAGTAACCGCTCGTCTCCATCTTCCCAAAGTCTACAAAATTATTGTTGCCGGGAACCTGAAACAGTAGTCCCGGCGTCAGAACCACGAACAAGATCGTCGCTGCAATCACCGGTATCCAGTCTGCCATTTCTTGATACTTCTTCTTTGTTATCCCAACCAGAGAGGGAGAGAGAGATAAAGTAAGAAGCTATTTTATCAGAGAGAGAGGGAAATATTTTTCTTGAGTAATAAAGATCATATTATCAAGGTTGGCAGAGGTTGGTGAAATGGCAAAGTATTAGTAGTATTTGTTTAGTAGTTTTTATTAAACGTGTATTTAATATGATTAAGTATTTTTTTTAATTAAAAAAATTATGGACCCTAATTTATGTAATTGCTAAAATTTTGTAAAGAAATTTTTTATATTTGAGTCGGGTCATGTTCGACTGCTTCAACTGTACGTGCTAAAAGATGTGCTGGTTGTGGTCAAAGTGTGATACCATAATGGAGAGTTGATGTCCCGATCGAGAGATTCGTTACAATAGTTGGATGGTCACTCTCATCTCTAATATTGTTAATCATTGCGTTAGACGATGATTGGATGGTAACTTCGTTGACCAAAAGAAGTTTAAACTTCCTTAATTGGGTAAACGAAAAGGCAATTCTAAATTTCTAATAGAGATAGGAAAGAAATCCAAAGTAACTAAAGCATGATTGATATATATATATATATATATATATATATATATATATATATATATATGCACATTTGCATGCATTTAAGAAACAGTTTATGCATATATTTTTACTTTTGTATTGGTTTGTTTAATCACTTTTTTAAGACATTTTGGCAATTTTTTGGATTTTTTTGGATTTTTTTTTATCAAATCATATGCGTCTATTTCACTGATTGCAAAACATTAATAAACTTTTTCAAATGACTTAATTTTCTTTAAAAAAAAATACATCCAAAAGACTGCATCACATAGAAGACTTCTACCTTTTGATTATGCTCAAATCATAAAATTAAATAGGAGATAATATTTGTAGATGAAGAAGCCCAGTCTAGAGATTCACCTCGAATCCGAAGAGAGAGAAATCACAGTCTAGAAGTTGACTGACAACAACAAGAATCATGAACTTCGAAGATCATGAGGTTTGATGATGAAAAATAGGATGATGGATCGCTCATATCTAGCAAGTATTGTGGCAGAGCTGAGGCAATGAGTTCCTCTCTTTTCTTCAAGTTTTTTTCATGATAAGGGACATGATTTGGTTGCTCAGAGATGATCTCAAAACCATGTACGCGAAATAAATCTTTCCAAACTTCAAGAAAAAAAAAAAAGAGATCACTGTCACTGATAATGTCATGTTGCATGTTTTGAAATGTGAAGATATGATCCATGTGCACTTGGGCAATACTAATAGCAGTATAAGGATGTGACATCATACACAATCTCTAGCTAGAACTTGTTTTTCTTTCTTAGAAGTACTATAGAGAGTGCATATGGCTGGACTTGTATGGTATAATTAATCTTCTGAGCTAGTGTTACTTATATTTTCTTATCTGTGGCACCCATTTCAAGTGAAATTTGATGATCAAAACCTTCTCTAAAAAGTGGTAACTCAATAGGTTCATCAGATAAAGCACCATATGAATCTAGCAACGGGCTGAATATTAATAGTCAAGTTTTATTTCACTAGCCTTCGGTTTCAAAGGAGAGAAATGGATGGTTGTATTGGCGATTTCCATTATATGAAGCAAAGCAATCCAAGGCTCCTTGCAAGAATAACTTGTTAAGGCTTCCTCCCTTAATCAATTCACAATCTGATTTAGTAAATCACGACCACTGGAGTTTAATAATGGAGAAACTCCTCCATTTCAAGGTTTAAACCCGGTACAACAAAAGTAACTCGACAAGGCAAACCTTAGAAATCATCAAGTAAAGAATTATCTATTCCAATCCATTGACAAGACCACTTTGAAAATCATCACTCAGAAGGAGACGACTTAACAATTTTGGGAGTCAATGAAGTTCAAGCAACAATGAAACGTTTTCACAACTACAAGGGCTTCCGATAACATTTGAAACTTTGGAGTCAGTGATTGTCAAGCATCAAGGAAGTTAGAGGTTTTTTTCAAAGTTAGATTTTAGTTTTGTTTTTGGCATAAAAAATCTACATATTTATTCCAGGTTAAATTTTTTTTTCCTGTAATTTGAATTTATTTATCAACAGGAAATAAGTTTATTTGCAACCAAGTGGAAACAAATCAATAAAATAATAAAAAATATTATTTAGAAAACAATTAAGAGTATGATCTGGTACTAGTCCAACGGTTAAGAAGTTTGCCGTACTTGTTAGTATTCAGATTAGTGGACCGAAACAATCCGGTTCCGGACAACTTTGGTCGACCTGGCTCTATGAGAGACCATATGGATGATATATTACCTTTAAGGTGGCGAAAATTATTACGTCTTCTCGAAATGTGGTTGATAGTGGTTTGATATGTTATTTGTAGGAGGGCGAGGTCTAGATAATTGAATTGTTGAGAGTAATGAGATTCATGGAATCAGTTTAGTCAGCTCGGACCAGAGGTTGCTTTCTGTTTTGTTTTCTTTTCTCCACTTAACCAACTAATCCGAAATTGAAGGATGAAGTGGCGCTCTTGAAAGTTTTCTTTATCCTCCACCTTGTGGTTTGTAGATGTAATTTTGTTTTTTCGATCGTGGCATTATTTGATTTTGGAACAACAATCAGAGTCCATCGCTGGAAATATTAAGGTCTTTTGGGATCATTGCGGTAGCTAAACAAATTAAAAGTCTTTAAAATTGACTTTAATATAGAAAATTGGTATAAAAATATCGACAGAAAGGTTACCGAAAACATATGATTTTATCATATAGTGTGCAATTCGGAAATTCAGCCAAAAATACTATTTCATAATACCATTCATGCACACAATTAGCATCTTTAAATTCACTTCTCTTTGTGTATACGTATTCATGCATACAATTAGCATCCTTAGATATAAACAGAATTACCATCCTTAGATATAAACAGAATTAGACATTTGAACTTATTATCGTACAATATTAGTTTCCTTTAACAAGTGTTTAATAAGTTTTTTTTTCTTGGTTTTCAGAGATAATGAAATTTCACCTATCAAAAACAAATTTTACAAAGCAAAACAAAGACAAAAAACTTGTGAAAAATACCAAATTTATTGCTTGGATGGAGTGTAATAAGATATACGAGACGTCCAGATCCCTGTTCTATATAGTACTATCTCATCAATTTCTCTGGAATGCGACATAAAATGAATGGAGGCCTCGGTTAAGGGGTATAGGGAATTTAACAATTCTTCAATAGTATTCAATTTTAGATGGAGAGATATTTTATTTGGGTTATCTGTTGAATATCATTAGAGGTCATTGCAGTTATGAAGATATCCGAACATTTAATGGTATTTTATACGACACCTTCAAAGAAGATTACTATACAAGGGGGTTATTCCCATTCTATTACATTTAAATGTCAATCTTAATTTTATATTGATAACTGCATGACAAATCATTATTTCAATAAGCTACACCTTTTTTGTTGTTTTTATTCGTCTTCCATATTTACAGTACATATTAAGTGGTAATTTATGAAAATTGAAGTTAAATCATTTTCTAAATCATAAATACTATGGGCTTGACTGGTTTAAACGCAGTGGTTGCGGTTGCGAGTGCGGGAGTTTACGGAAGCAGACGATTGCGGTTATGAGCGTTACTCAGCGGTTTGCACGACTGGTTAATTTTTTTAAGATAGATCTGTTTGCGGGACAATTTTGACTGGCAAACCAGTGATTGTTTTAGCGGTTAAACATAAAATTACCAAAATAAACATCATATATAATTATAAAAAAAAACAGAAAAACTATATTATTATGATTAATATCAAAATCAATAGTTTAAAATAATTAATAAATTATAAATAAATACTAGATAATTATTTTAAAAATTAAGAAATTTTATAATAATATATTTTATTTCAATTATTGGGAACATCACCCAAAGTTGTGTCTAGTAATGTAATAGACTGGAAAAAATTTACTCCAATATGTAGATTTTCTGGATTTGTCTTATGCATGATGTAAAATTTCTTCAATTGATCTAATCGATTTTTTCCACGATCCCAATTCAAATCAACTCCAAATTGCTCATTAGTATTCTTCAAAATACGTTTTTTCTAGAGTGCACTCAAAAATCTAGGATAATTTATCTTAACTTTGTTTTTCCACAATGATCCGTTGAAGTAACACACATGTCATCTCATTTGATCATGTAACTTTCTGAAGAACAAAAAAAAATTATAACAAACTAATTTTGTAATTAATAAGATACATATTTATAATTTCTTACTTTAAATTTAAAAGTGGAAACAGAACAATTAATATAATTAAATTAAACTAAAGTATTATGACACTTATGCTTGTATCTTAATTTTCTTCAACTGATATGGAAAGCCATGATTATAGACTAGAACTTGATAGAAAAAGTGAGAGGTTAGGGTTTATATATATAAGAAAAGATTAGTAGGATTAGGGTTTTATAATTGTTTTTAACGTGATCTTTTTTTTAGCGTGAATTTATTTATTTTTATTTTTTTACCCAACCGCTACCGCCCGCAACCGCAAACGCTGGCGGGAAGCAGCTTTCGGATTTCAGCGGTATAAAACGATACAGAATGGTTTGCAGCGATTTCTATGATTGTGATAAAACGCTACTAACCGCTACCAACCGCAAACGCTGCGTTTGCGGGTGATAGCGGGTGAACCAATCAACACATATATTTACAGCAGTTAGATATTGCATAATCAATACGAGAACCAAAAAGTTGAAGCTTTATAAATTTTGCATAAATTTAAATTTTTATCATATTTGAACAGTTAATACACCGTTATTATCGTAAGTTTGAAGTATAATTTATGTGGATTATTTGTAAATTAATATTCAAAATAAACAAATATCTCACAAAATCTCAAAATCACACAGAAAATGATTGAAATTTTAAAAGTTGAAATACAACTGACATACATAACTAATTATATTCCCGAAATAAAGTGCTTTCAAAGAAATGCAAATAAAAAATAATAAATCTAAATTAACGGTTAAACAGGGAAAACGGTATAGATAAATATTTCGACTTCCACTTAATAGATTTGTATTTGTTACACATTTTGGTTTTCAAAATTTATATATTACTTTACAAGAAGTACACAGTCAATACTCTCTCCTGAATTTGGTAGAAAGTACTCACTGTGTACTTCCTGTCAAAAGTGAGCACTGACAAGTGACACAATAAAAATTATTAGTTTTCACACAACTAAAAAAACTCTTCATAGACGCACAAAAAATACTATGTAGGCAAAATATATTTTTTTTTTTGATGTAAATATATTTTTGTACGTCTCTAAGAAATCAGATCACAAGAATAGTTCTAGTATCATTTGTCTTTGAGTGAAATAATTTTTTCTTTGTTACTTGATAAAATTTCTCTTGTGTTGTTTATTTATAGAGTAAGTAGAGAGTGATCACTCATGTTTTTTTTCGTGTGTTTCATATTTTCCCAAAAGTCTTTTGTAATTAAAATATATTTACTAAGATTTGAACAAATTCTCACAAATTCCCAAAAGAAGATGCATTTTGTTAAAATTAATACATCTTTATCTATATTACAAAAATAATATTTCTTCAATATACATTTTGAAAAATACCTTAAAAAAAACTAAGGGTTCTTTGGGAATTAGTTGTGATCTTCATCATTACTCTTTTTATTATACATAAATATAATTTATACAATAATAAACTGCAAATATATCCCATCAGAATAAATACGATAAACTATTAATATACTAAAACTAGGTCCAATAAAATTAACATTATACCCAATAACGTTTAAATTATAGAAAAACGTTCAAGCTCGCGTGTAAACTAGTATCCTAGTATTTACTTATATAATAATTTGTTTTCAAATAGTTCTGTATACAAACTTTGTAATATTGATTTTTGTAATCTTGATTTGAAATATATGAATTCAAATTTTCACTATAGTTACACTATTTTCTAATCTACTATTATTTATTTAAAATTTAAATTTAACAATGTAATCAATATATTAAATTGCTAAAAGAAAATCTAACTGAAAAAGTGTAATTGCATAATCTGTAATCAATATATTAAACTGTTTTCTTATTAAACTGCATAACTTATAAGTGGGAAAATATTTATAAATATGTATATGCATAATCTGTTTTCTTATTTTCATTAACAAGAAAAGAAAAAGAATATATTGACTCATTTAATATGTAGTCTAAACAATTAAAATTAAATAATAACCTAATGATGAAAAACTATTTTGAGTTCACTTTCACTTTTCAATAATTCCAGAGACAGTCTGTATTCTCTTCACATAAAATAAGTTTTGAGATAGGGAGAGAACAATAATAAACAGTCGTCGTTCCCGCGTGGCACCTCCAGGCAATCCAAGGGTAAATATGTAATTTTATCGTTAACAGATTGGCCATTGGCGCATGAAGAAAAAAGTTCCACCACGGCTTTGAATAAACAAATTCTTTTATTTTCCTCTGGCTCTCGCTTTCCCTCTCTTTCGACTTTCTCTTCCCCAGGTGTTTCCTTTCATTCGATTCCCCAGAAAATTAAATCCATTGATCAAAGCTACAGAAATTCGAAATCGATTGCGTCCTTGTCGCAGAATTCGATTTGTGAATCGATCATATTAGAAGTATAAGGAAGAATCTCGCCATTCTGATATCTCCTTGAATTTATTCTCTCTCTGTGATTAAATTCTTAAAGAAAATTTGAAGAGAAAGACTGTTTGGTATGTTACTTATGTTTTGTATCCTTGTTCAAATGTTCCATTGCGAATCTCTGCCTTTTTTTTTCGAAATCGTGTCCATATTGTCAAGTTGATGATGGTTAATTTTGTGTGATTTGATTCAGAAAAATTTGAGGGAGGAGGAGACCGGAATTGTTGAGATGGCAAACCAAGGTGGTTCGTCGAGGAAAAGTCTCTCTTTCTCTGGTCATTCATTTCAAGGGAGGAAGAAAGCTTCTGAAAACAATGAAGGTGGAGGAGGAGGAGGAGGCTCTGACCTCCCAAGGAGATCTCTCACATCTTCTCGTTCTTCCATGTAATCACCTCCAAATCATTTATTCCTCTTTAATCGTTAGTTCTTTAGTATTCATTGATCGTGATGGTTGTGAACTTTTTTACGGTTTTCCAACTCCAAAACCAATTGGTAATTTGTGAATTGGCCTATATCACAAGGTCTTTTCTAAACTTCCAATGTGGAATCCTAACGATGGTTGCGTGTTAGGGTTCTTGGTATTCTTGTTGCTCTCCCATTGTTCCTTGAGTTGGGATGATCAAGTGATTGTTCTTGTGGCTGTTTAAAAGTAGATTATACAAAACTTTATTCATTTACTAGATAGTAACCTTTTTGTTATTCAGTTTCTTTATAATTCTATTTTAGTTTATTCAGCTTACCAGTTGTTTGTTCCAATGATTCCGCCGTTTCATGATTTAGCTAGTCAGCTAATATACAGTCATGCCTTTAATTGTTCGTCCTTGTGACTGTTCAAAAGGATTCTTTAGGAGATTTGAATGTAGTGCTACTTCTTTATTTAACCTGAACCATTAGTTTTGAGTAAATTAGCTTGGGGATTGATTATCACTATACATAATTGCATGACTTCGATATTGACAGTTATCTTTTCGGGTATGAGTCCTATAGCTCTTTTTGGTTATAATCAGCAATGTGATGATGATTCATAAACAGCAAAAAGAGCAGAATGTAAAGAAATAATCTCTGATGCTTCCACCTTGGCGTTATGGCCTCATCAAGAATTGTTAAAAAAAATCACAAAGAGATGCATAAAGTGCAAGCTCTTGAGTTTGCTTGCTTGAAATTTCTGCATGCAAACTACATCAGTTTACCTAAAACAGTAAGGCTTTTGCTGGTGAAGTTTTCATGTATTTGCTATTTGCATGTTTTTGCAGAAGCTTGAGTGGAGAAAGGAGTGGAGAGAGGACTGTCAAGCGACTGAGATTGTCTAAGGCCCTTACCGTACCTGACAGCACAACATTATATGAAGCTTGCCGGAGGATGGCTGCACGTCGTGTCGATGCGTTATTGCTGACTGATTCTAATGCGTTACTTTGTGGGATCCTTACAGACAGGGTAAAAACTTTCTTGATCAGTTTCACTGCAAACTGTTTCTCCAGTTTTTACCTATTTCAAGTGGCTTAAATAGATTTTATATCTCACTTTTGGTTTTAAAGGACATAGCAACAAAAGTGATTGCTAAAGAGCTCAACCTTGAAGAAACACCTGTATCTAAAGTTATGACCAAGAACCCTGTCTTTGTTTTGTCTGACACTATTGCTGTGGAAGCTCTTCAGAAGATGGTGCAAGGTTTGTAATGCTTAGAGAAACACTTTTCTTTAATGATTTCATTGGTTTTTATACTGTTCTTGAAATTTGAAACTATCGAGTGGATCTGCAGGAAAATTTAGACATTTGCCGGTGGTAGAGAATGGAGAAGTTATCGCGCTTCTTGATATTGCAAAGTGTTTGTATGATGCAATTGCCCGAATGGAAAGATCAGTTGAGAAGGGTAAGGCCATTGCTGCAGCAGTTGAAGGTGTTGAAAAGAATTGGGGGACATCTATTGCTGGTATGTTAAAAACATCAATTCCTGAACAGCTTTCGATTGTCTGACTTGTGTTTAAACAAAACTGAATATCCCAGTTTTTGGGAGATATCTCTGATGGCATCTTGTTGAATACAGGACCAAACAGTTTTATGGAGACACTTAGAGAACGAATATTCAAGCCTTCACTTTCAACTATAATTCCAGAGAATACAAAGTAGGTAATATATCCTTTACGTTACATATCAAATTTTTTAAAAATGCTTTGATATTATAATTGTTTTTGGTAAGAGTAATGTAATAACGAGTAAAACCGAATTGAAAACGTACAGAGTTTTAAAGGTTGGATTGGAAGAGACGGTGTTAACAGTAACCATGAAGATGGTGGAATATCAGTCTAGCTCAGCCATGGTGATGGTTGAGAACAAATTAACAGGGATTCTCACGTAATGTCTCATATTTGGCCTTCTGTTTCCATTTATCTGGAGAACAAGCCTGTTCTGTTCTGGTTAAGAAATTTTGTCTCTAGATTTCATACTTCTTGTGGAACTTTGATGTTAGTTTGTGAATTTTTTGTTAGTTCAAAAGACATCTTGATGCGTGTGATAGCCCAAAATCTTCCTCCCGAGACCACTACTGTAGAGAAGGTAACTTTTTTGCATATAGCTAATCTGCTTTTACATTAGAATCTATTTGGGACTTGATTTCAAGTCTTCTTTATAATTATATATCAATGCTCTTCTCTTGTCTTTATTTTTTGTTTCCAACAATTCTGTAGGTTATGACTCAAAACCCTGAATCTGCAACAGTTGATATGGCAATTGTTGACGCCTTGCATATCATGCATAATGGAAAATTTCTTCATCTTCCTGTATTAGATAAAGGTAAACAAAATCTCCTCGAAACTGACTCTTGAGCAATTAAAATATGATGCATTGTTTAATTCAGCACTTTATTAAATGTTAATGATTTCAAACAGATGGAGATGTTGTCGCTGTCATTGATGTGATCCACATAACTCATGCTGCTGTAACTACGGTACACTTTTTTTTCTTTTCTCTTTGAAATGAAGATACAATATTGCCCAAATTAGCACTTAGAGCAGCTCCATTAGCACTTAAAGAGGTTCTTAACATCTTTTTTTTTATTAGTTAATTTGATTATTAAAAGAGAGAGTGCAGTCCACGTGTCGTGTCTGGGGAAGGAACTCACGAGAGAAGAGAGAGCATCTCGAAATTTAAAAAAAAAAAACATAACTAATTACACATAACTTAGAAACCGATCCTAAATATCCTTATTTAACGATCAATCCTAAATAAAAGTGGGCTTTTTTACTTTTTTTTTTTTTTTAATCCAATTCTATCTAGGAGTCCGGACCAACAGATCCTGATCCTGTTGGAGATGGTCTTATAGTAATTATATACTCAATTTCTTAACTCTCAGATTTTTATTCTGTTCTTTTTTGTTTTTAACGAGTACTAGATTCTAATCCTGTGCATCCGCACGGAAATATTTTTTATTGTTTAACGAATTTTGTAATATAATTTGTGTTTTTGAGTTTAGATATAATTATTTTTATAAATATATTTTTAATAAGTGAAAATATTGATTTTTGTGTTTAGATATATTTTTATAATATTAAAATTAATTATGATTATAAAAATATAATTTTAATCCGTTCGCTAATATTAATTCAAAATGAACTATTATAAAAACATAATTCTAAATTTTTATTACCGTATAATATAAATATTTGTTAAAATTTTGAGATGTATTAACAGTATTATTTAGCATTATAGTTTTCTAAAATTTAATCAACGAAGGGAATTTACAACTGGTTTTTCAAACCACATTATATTGTATGCAATAATTTTTAATTTTTAATGTTTTTATTTTGTATGAAAAATATATTTTCGATATACATGTATAATTCAAAATTAGTGATTTTAGTTACCAAAATATTTTTAACCCGGTTTTTATATATATTTTTAGTTCTATAAATTTTAAAAATATTTTTTTAATATTTAAATTATACATTTGAATTTTACCTAATATTTTATTATTAATTTGTAAATAAATCATAATCGTAAATATATTATATAAGCAACATAAATATCACATCATTTACATCATTATAAATATTTTATATTTCAAATATGACCATTATTTTTCATATATGAATTATTTTTTTTCAAAACTTCTAGATATTTTTGATAAAAATGTTTAATAGTATAGAAATTATTTAAATTAGAATCTTTAAATCAAATCTAAATTAATATCTGATTTATTATTTTTAATCAAATCAAATCAAATCTAAATTACCTATATTTAAGGAACTCTAAAAATATTTAAATTAATAACTAATTTTTGATATTAAATATAAATAATTATTAAAATTATTTTTAAACACTTAAAAAAAATTAGGAGTGTTTGGAAGCAAGTACTAAATGTGTTTCTATTTTAATATAATAGATTACTCTCATACTACTTTTCCCTGTAATGTACATAAGACTACACTCAAAACTATAGAAATTATATTGGTCATTAACAGTACAAAAGTGCTAAAAAAACTAACAAACTTCAAATAAGTGCTAAAATTTGCAAAGCTCTCAGAATAAAAAAGTAACAAAACTTTAAATGAGTACTAAAATTTGCAAAACTCTCCAATAAAGATAGGAAACATGAGATATCATTCTTGTTGAAGTGTTTTTTTTGGGTCGAAAAAAAGTGTTTTTCACCTCTTTGCCGGGAACCCAAACAATGTAAATAGTCTCTCCCAACGTATGTTGAACCTAGGGTGGACGGGCAGATACCCAAACCTTTTTACCACTAGTCCAACACAACGTTGGTTTCTTGTTGAAGTGTTGTGGTTTGGTATAAGCTCTAACTTTCCTTTGGACTAGGCTGGAAGTACGGCTGGAATAAACAATGAGACAGCAAACTCAATGATGCAAAAGTTTTGGGATTCAGCTATGGCTTTGTCTCCTAACGAAGATGGAGACGAAACAACGAGGAGGTTCTTACTCATTTCTCTAAAAACCCATTTAGTTTTGTCTCAAAAGCTAAGTTCCTCAAAACTTTAGTTGTTGGATGATCATTAATTTTTGCAGTGAAGAAGAATCAATGAAGTTATCTTCGGAGATCGAAGGGACAAAATCATTCTCATATCCCAACACATTTGCTTTCAAACTCCAAGATAAAAAAGGACGGATGCATAGATTCATGTGTGGTACGTTCTAATCATATAAGTATAACACCAATTTATGTCGATGCAGGGATATTCCATTTACAATTATTTTTACTTACTGATTACAGAAACACAGAGTTTGACAACTCTGATAACTGCAATACTACAACGGATGGGCGATGACATTGAGCCTGAAAACTTGCCTCACATAATGGTACGTATTTATTCGAAATGAGAAAGGGAAAGCTAAGAAAACCTCCTTCTTGACATATTTTTTGCTTTGTAGTACGAAGATGAAGACAATGACAAAGTCATTTTAGCATCAGATGGTGATCTTGTAGCTGCCGTAGAGCATGCAAAATCAATAGGCTGGAAGGTAACTGATAAATACCTTATTCAACAAAGCAAAGAATCATAATGAAATCAAGAAGATAAACCGAATGTCATTTGGATCGGTTTCAGTTCGGTTTTTTAATAATAAAAATGTATCCTTATTTTTCAAATCAATGGTTCTTACAGATTTTTCGGTTACAGAAATAGTAAAACCATTTTAACCTTTAAGGTAGTCGGTTTTTAGATCGGGTTCTTGGGTTCAGATGGTCTGGTTTTGAGCTAAAGAAGAATATACCAACATTGGTGCAGGGCTTGAAATTACACTTGGACTTCATAGAAGAGAGAGGGCACAGGAGAGGCTTGAGTTCAGAGGGTATGGACTACGAGCAATCAAACTCATGGGCAGCCGCTTACAAAACAGTTGCAGCCGGGGCTGCTCTTGCAGCTGGACTTGGAGTTTTGGTTTACCTGAAACGTCACTCAAACTAACTGATTCATTTCTCGGAGATACAAAGGCAATTGGCCTTCTAAAGCTAAGCTTGGCAAGTATTGCAACTCTACATTATTTGTGTTCTTGTTGTTTTTGATCTTTTTACTTATTTTTTTCTGAAGTTACTCATTCAACTGTATATAAATAAGTAAACATTTATTTGTATTAACATTGGTGATTGAGTGACGTTTGGATATTTCAAAAGGTTTTGACGATTTTTTTCTTCTACTACAAGAAAATACTATTGTTTCTGACCGTTTTCTGATGACAAGCCACCTGATGTGAGTACCTGAACAGTTCTCACTACATACTCATCATCTTATCACAATTTTGACAACGATCGAACAGAAGCATCAGTTTGAGGAAATTGGTGCATTCCATCATAATCATAAGAACAGTACAAAACTAGTTTTCTCCAAATGATGCTTTGGTTGGATCCTTGTCAAAATTTTAAAAATCAAGAACTAGAACACTCATAACCTCTAAATTAGTTTCCTCCTTTTTATTTTTAACAATATCATCATTGTTTAAGCTATCACACGTAACTGTTTTCAGTGCATTGAATTTTAGTCTTGAGGGGCTTTTGTTACTGCAGTAAATCCAACATTCACTTGTTGAGAAGTAGAGAACATACTTTTCAAGACATAGTTTGAGCATACTCTTGGCCTTTTCAACCAACACATTAGTCTTCTTAACTCCTCGTGTCTATTTTAAAGTGACGATCATTGTGGATCAGTTTCAGTACGTTTTCAATTTTTTTTTTAAATCCTTATTTTTCAAAGCAAATTAGTGGTTAACGTAAACAAAAATTTAAATGTTCTTTTCCTTTTGAGTATGGATTCAAAATTTTCCAGAAATAGTAAAGCTCTTCTAAGGTCTAATTTATAGAGATCAACTCTTTTGAGTTTGGTTGGTCTGAATCATGGCTTGAGCTTGAGCTCAGAGGATATGTACTACAAGCAATCAAACAGTTGCAGCTGGGGATGCTCTTACTGCAAGACATGGAGTTTTGGTGTACGTACTTGAAACGCCACCCAAACTAACAGAATCATTTATTTGATCTTGTCACTTCTCTGTTCTTTAACCTTGTTCATTCAACTGTATATAAATAAGTGATTATCAATTTTTATTGACTTTGGTGATTTGAGTGACGTTTGGATATATATTGTAAACAAGACAGTCAATTTCAAGAATATTTGGTTAAGAGATAACAAAGTTAAAGAGTCTCCTTCATGTGGCTTTGAAACCATGAACCTTTCTAATCATTGTATGGTACAAATTTAGCAAAGTTTGATGTGAGACTCTTGGTTCACGATGAACATAAGCAATTTCAGTTAGCAAATGGCTCAATCTATGAAAAATATGCCTACTAAAAGCTATTGAAGATACCAAAAAACTACTTCGGAGAAATAGTTACTAAAAGCTATCGAAGATACCAAAAGCTATTGGCAATTTTAGACAAAAATAGCTTTTTAAATACTTTTAGTTTTCAAAATAAATACTTATATCTACTCATAAATTCTAAAAATTTTAAAAAAAGAAAAAATATTATTCTAAAAATTCGTTTTAGGAAATACGTATATTTAAAATTTATTTATAAATATGTTTTAGAAAATGTGTTCTATAATTCTAGTGTTTTATAGAATTTGCTTTCTACTATTTGGTATAAGATCAACCGAGTATAGAATAAATATTCTACTATTTGTTTTGTTTTCTAGATCTCTCTATAAAATAGTTATCTACAACCTGTACTATATTCTACATATTTTAGAATATGTATTCTATAATCCATTATATATTCTATGTTTTTCAGAATTAAAATTTTATTGATTTGTCTTCGTTCTAGCGAATATAGAATCCGTATTCTACCAAACGGTTAACAGAATATGAGAAACTCTAGGATCAGGTTTATTCAACAAAAAAATAAATATTTGAAAATATTTTATTTTTCTTTTTTGTTTTCACGTTTTAATATATTTTTGGTTTTTTCTTTTCTTCTTCTCATTCATGACAATTTCACGATCTCTTTCACGATAATTACTGTTCTTCTTTGTTTTCTGTTCTGGTTATTAAATTATGGTGCATATCTATGTCACCTATGGTATATGGAGATCGATTCTCAATAAGGATTGGGGTTTTGCCGTCGATGAAGAAAAATGAGGTTGATTAGTAACTTTAGAATCAAGTAAGACTTTTGCAGAGTTAACAACTATGGTGTTAGAGGACTTTAGAATTGTCAACCATAGTGCTGAGTTCAGTTATGTACTGAGCAATTTGATTGATAACTTAGGTTCTCCATCAGTGATTATCACAAATGATCGACAAGTGAAAAATTTCACTGATTATGCAAAAAAATGCGTCTACACGTAAAGTTAAAAGAGAAGACGATAAAAAAATGTCGGAGAAGACGATGAAGATAAAAGAGTCGCATTCTTAATTTTTTCCCTGTAAATTTATGGTTTTTTTATAATTTCAATTTTTAAATAATAATAGTTAAAAATAATATATTAATATTAGATAAATCGATTTTTAGGGGTAAAAGAGGATTATCCTTAATATAAGTACTCAGAGGACATAATTTTTTTTAAAAAGTACTTAGGGGACAAAATTTCCATTTTGTGTCTTATATTTTTAATTTTGTCTTGACTTAATTGAAATACATCATCACATAAAAATGTCTGTGAGTAAAAATAGCTTCACATAATCGTGTTCAAACAAGGGCTAAAATTATTATCCGGTATCCAGTCTCCGATCCGGTATCCGCTCTTATCCGATCCGTAAAAACGAATATTCGTGTAGTTCGGATACAGATCTGGATAATGAAATTAAGTATTAAATTCGGATACGGATCCGGATAATAGAAAAATTTAAAAACAGATATCTGATATCCGTTTGTTAAATATTTATTTATTATTGATAATATTTATTCATTTAAAAAAATTAACTTTGTTATATTAGAGCATGTATGAACTCAAGTTTTTTTTGGTTTAAATCCTTTACATATTATTGAAACTCATATTGTATGATAATTTTCTATTTCAGATTGTAAGAGAAGAATATGAAAATGGATAACACATGGAGATGAAGATAAATAAAGTTCTCTATTACTATTTTTTCTTTTGCTATGTAAATTTTTTAAATTTTGTGCTATTTGATTGTTACTTGAATGCTTTTTAAATCTTTGCTATTTGTAAATTTTGCTATGATGATACATTTTAATTATCTATGTTATTTAATTTTAATTTTAAAAAATTGATTTTTTTTTAAATCAGCAAAACTGGATATCCGATTGGATATCCATAAATATTTGGTATAAACCGGATATTCCGAATTTTCGGATCTGAATTCAGATAGTAAAATTGATTATTTGGAGAATTCACATGCGGATCCGGATACTTTGAAAAGTCCGGATATCCGGCTCCGTTCTAGCCTAGTTCAAACCGCTTATATGGCCATATTTCATAGTTTAACCCCTTGAAAATCTAGTATGCAACATTTAAAACCAAAACCAACTGTTTCCACGTAATAAATAATTTATATATAGAAAATATAAAAATCTTTCTCTAATTTAGAAGTAATACTTTCTCTTTTTTTTTTTGGTGCAACAAAGTTATACTTTCTATCTGCAAAAAATCATTACTCTCATTAAACAAATTGAAATATTTTGACTGGATACATCTGTCACTGCGAATATATGGAAAGAAAACTTGCATAGAAAACATATAGCAATTTTACCATAAAAGCTTTTTTGGTAAACTTATTTTACAGATCACATATTTTAATCATCTTTACTGCTAAAGTTATCCTTAAGAGTTTATAATTCAGCGCCTAAACCACACAACATCAACAAGAGTTTAGGTACTGGGTACTTGTCTTCAAGCTTCTTAACCTGCGTTTCCTGCGGCGGCGATCGGGTAATTTTGTATGCATGTAATTTTGGCTTTATATGAAATTGTATTCTTCAACTTTAAGATTTATATATGTTTTGTTGTTCTTCACATGCGTATTCTTCGCCTTCGTTTTCAGTGTAATTTTAACAAGTGGGTTGGAGTGATAGTGGGTTTATATTTTACTGTGTGGATAGTGTAGGGATATCATATTTATGGCATTTCAGTTTTCTTTCTGTGAATTCAATTTAGTGCTTCATGTTAATGGTTAAGATCACTGATGTGTAGTATAACTGGCAGAATGAAATGATCAGCCATGCTTACTTGATGCTAAATTATGTTTTATTCAAATCACGAGTGTTTAGGGTTTGTGTTGTCAATGGATTTTTTTTTCCGATTATATCAATTATTTATTTTTCTAGAAAAAGTTTGATAGAATCCTTATTTAAGACTTCAGTATCTGCATTTATACTTTAGAGGAACAATATCTATTTCCACCACTTATGTTTTTATTGATTTGGATCTGTTAACTCCATTGACATTTCTGGATCCCACTTTCTGTTTCAAAATTGTTCAAGAGTTAAAGATAATGTTTTGTAATGTTTTTCTTCTATGTTTGAATATTGTTCAAGAACTGAAACCTAACACTAGTGAAATTTTGGGTTGTTTCATTATCTGATCTATGTTTCTTGCAGGATATACAAATAAGAAATGATGCACATGGACGAATCGAGAATGGAAAGCAGTAGAAAAGAAGCAAGAACAGCAAAGGCGATTGCTGTGGAGAAGTACAAAGCAGGGGATCTTGCTGGTGCCAAAGCCTTTGCTATCAAGGCAAAAAGTCTAGATCCCGCACTTTGTGGTCTTATCTGCCTCATTACTGTTCTCGACGTGATGATCCCGTTCGAGAAGAAACTAAACGGTGAAGTTGATTGGTACTCTATTTTAGCAGTCGAACCAACCGCGGATATTGCAACGATCAAAAAGAGCTACAGTAGATTGTTTATGAACATTATCATGGAAAATGACAAAGAAGTGGGTAGCATTGTTGAAGCAACCAATATACTGGATGAATCTTGGAGCGTTTTGTGCAATGAAAAGAAGAGGCTAGATTATGACAAGAGACGTGGAATCCAGCCACAAGTTCAAAATCCGAGAATAGTCCCGAACCTTATCAAGGGTACTAATTCTTCATCATCAGATGATGATAGCAGCTTCTGGGCAAGATGCCATCACTGTAGCTTTACCTATAAGTATTCAAAGAGCTGGAAAGATCAAAGGTTCATCATTTGTGTTAAATGCAGCCAGCCCTTTGAAGCTGTTGAGTA